TCGCCGGCTCCGGCTCCGCTGCCGGCACCGGATCCGTTGCAGGGCGCCGTGTCTGGCCCCAGGCGCCATCCCCGTCCCCAAACACCGTATCCGTCCCGGGCACCGTGTCCACCCCTGGGCACCACATCCATCCCGGAACACCGCATCCGTCACGGGTGTCCGTCCCAGGGCACCACGTCTGTCCCTTGGCACCGTGTCCGTCACCGGGTACCTGCCATTCCCAGGCCCCACATCTGTCCCGAAGGGACGTATCCAGCCCCAGCTCCGTGGCTGTCCCCCAGTGCCAGATCTGTCCCTGGTCACTGTGTCTGTCCCCAAGCTCTGTGCCCCTCTGTCCGGCCCTGGGGCACCGCGTCCAGCCCCGTCTGGTGCCCGGCTGTGGTCCATGCAGGGATGGTGACAACGCCAGGGTGGCAGGGGGACCCGGTGGGCCCAGGGGCGTCGCGGGGAGCGCCCGGTCCCGGCGGCACCGGCAGTGCCGTCCTGCGCGTGCCCGGCCCCCGCCCCCGGCGCGAGATCCCGCTGCTTTCCCGCATTTCCAGCCCCGCCGTTGCCATGGCAACGGGATGCAGAGGATTTCTGCACCGCTGCTAAAAATGCCAGAAAACAGAGGCGGGCTGGGCCCGCGCTGCCCCCCCCCCGCGCCATGGGCTGCCCCCCAGGGTCTGCGGGCACCCGGGAAGGGGGCACCAATGGAGAGGGAGGGGGCGGGAAGGGATGGGGCGAATGGAAGCGGGATAGAGGGATAGATGGGATGGGTGGGGAGCGAGAGGTGACGGGATGGATGGGGGTGAAGAAATGGGTGGAAGGGAGGATGGCTGGAGGAGCTGAAAGATGGGAGATGGCTGGAGGTGAAGGGAAGGACTGGAGGGGAGGGATAGAGGGAAAGGAAGGATGGATGGGGGTGCGCAGACAGAGGGAAAGATGGAAGGAAGGCATGGACATTGGGACAGGAGCAGATGAAAGGATGGAGGGAAGGACATCAGAGGTGAAGGAGGGGATGGAGGGATGGATGGAGGAGGGATGGAAGGGGCAAAAGGAGAGACAGAGGCAATGAAGGGATGGACAGAGAGGAGAAGAGGTGCAGGGAGGGAAGAGGAGATGGAAGGAGGGATGGAAGGAGAGTGAAGAGATGGACGGAGGGGATGGAAGCTGCTGCATAGAGGGGGAGAAGAGAAATGGGGATGGATGGAGAGGATGGAGGGATGGATTCAGGGATGAATGGAAGGAAGGAAGGAAGGAAGGAAGGAAGGAAGGAAGGAAGGAAGGAAGGAAGGAAGGAAGGAAGGAAGGAAGCAGGGTTGGAGGGACGGAGAGATGCCAAGATGGATAGAGAGGATGGAGGGATGGATGCAGGGGTACAGGGATGGATGCAGGCATGTAGGGAGGGATGCAGGGATAGACAGAGAGGATGGAGGGATGGATG